TGGGGTTGTTCAGCCTGGAGAAGAGAGGGCTGCGAGGAGACGTTACAGTGGCCTTCCAGTACTTAAAGGGAGCCTACAGGAAGGAGGGAGAGGGACTCTTACTGGGAGTGTAGTGTTAGGGTGAGGGGTAATGGTTTTAAACTGAAAGAGGGTAGATTTAGATTAGATATTAGGAAGAAATTCTTTACTGTGAGGGTGATGAGACGCTGGACCAGGATGCCCAGAGAAGTTGTGGATGGCCCCTCTCAACATTCAAGGTCAGGCTGGACAGGGCTCTGAGCAACCTGATGTAGTTAAAGCTGTCCCTGCTCACTGCAGGGGGGTTGGGCTAGTTGACCTCTAAAGGCCCCTTCCAACCCAAAGCATTCTATGATTCTACGATAGATGGAAACAAAAATACTGATTTACAACATGCTACAGCAATAGCAATTTCACGTAAGAAATTATCAATTGTGCTTCTTACATATGCAATGCTAAGGATGAACTTTCCTCTGGTGTCCAGAGAATATTCTTTCTTTCCAGTTTCAACACCAAAAATATTTACTTTTCCCACATGACTTCCTGTTGCAAGGTACTGGGAATCAGGTGAAAAAGCCAGGGACCAAGCATCAACTGTATTAAAAAGAAAAAAAAAAATCAGTTAGATGAATATTATTCCTAGTTCTTATTGAACTATGTCAGTTCTGTATGCAGCCGTTTAGACATTTAACCCCCTAACTACTCTTAACACTCTACTATATACTCTTAAGAAGAGTGTACAAGCTCATGAAAGTTAACTTCCTTCTAAGTCATTAATGGAGCATAGCTTGAGCCATTTATTTCCGTTTAGTGAAAGATTAAATTTTCTAATGAGACCTTGAGCTTATTAGACCCTCCCGTAACAATAAATTTAGAATTTAAGACTGTGTGAGTCAAGTCTAAATTCTTACTCTTCTCCTGGTATCAAAAGATATTAAACCAGTAAAAGAAAGGAACGCTAGTATCTACCAAAGCACAGAAGATGCAGGAGAAACGCAGATATACAAATGTAACATAGGTCAACATTCCTTGCAACAGAATTTAAAAAAGCATACCTTTTATAGCAGTACAATGTACTTACCTGGCACAATGTAATTCACATTTTTTTTTTCTATAAGCTTAATATTAATTACCTAAAACACTGCAAGATTGTTCTTAAATTAAGGATTGCCAGTGGACCAATGAAATACTTAGAATAAGATCTTAGGCCCTGAATTCCAACTTGGAGGATGTAACATTGATCCAGACTTCAGCTTCACTGTGTTTTCACTTGCTCACTAGGATGTACTGCATAAATAAGCATCACATATATGGCTCAAATTAAGTGCAGTGCAGTGCTTATGAAGAAAGTTCAGATTTTCTTTGTAAATTAATTTGAATAATCATTTGAATTATTTTTTTAAATATCTTTTTTATCAATACATCTGTAAGAGCAAACTGGTTTCCATTCTGCTTTATGCATCTAGCAAAAAGCGTATCTAAATTCTCAGATAGAGAAAGCATAAGTAGTGTGAAAAAATAAATGTAAAATTGTCTGATACTACTTTAAGTTGAGCTCATACAATCACTACGATTTTTGCAAACAAAGGAAGATTTTAAAAAAAAAAACAACCACCAGTTGTCTCGTATACCTTAATTATACCCTGTACAGTATTTACTATCTAGAGTAAATACACTTCTTAACCAGAGACAGCTTAACACTGATATCTTACCAGGACCAGCATCTATTGACTTGATCTGTTTGCCAGTTTCTAAATCCCAAAGGCGAATATGGGCATCTAGGGAGCTGGATGCTGCAATGGAGCCTGTGTGGCTGATATCCACAGATACCACACCCAGTTGGTGACCCTCCAAAGTCCACTGTAGATCCAATTTTTCATCATTCCTTTTGTTCAAGGGAAAGAAAAGCCTAGTTATGAATAGCTGGGGGTACTTAACCCATCTCCAACCTCAGACAAAACAAACAAACAAGATAATGCACATTTCTCCGTTTTTGTCAACAAAAGGGGAATCCAACTTCACTTATGAAATGTGAAGATAGCTACGCACAAACTGCTCTCTGTACTTACGGGAAAGAACTGACAGATCAATCATTTACCATATTTCTGCAAAGCACGTACTTCATCTTAAATTTGTAAGTAGTCCCACCGAAATATGTTATTACACATCAATACATGGGGTACTTACACAGCAGACTGTTAATCTGTCAGCAGAGCGTGAAACACAATGATGAGCGTTTTTATAATCACCACAACAGAGCTACCTGTGTCATTAAAGTAAAGCACATACTTAATACTGCTTTGGCTAAGAGACAGAATGATTTCTTTCCAAAAGCATACTTCAGTGTCATTTGTATAAGGATTGTGAAGTTTTGGGGCTTTTTTTAATAAAAAAGGGAGATGTCATTTCCTCTTTTACTCTATTCCTGTTATTCCTTTCACAGTACACATGCTCCCAATGCATTGTCTCATAAAAAGTTGCATTTCTAATTCTTTGGTTTAGAAATACATCAAGTGGTACTATTCTCTGGCAGATGACACGTAAAATTTTATATGCATTTTCAAAAGGGTTCGCATTCTTCGAAAATTAAAGCACATCAGAATGCTACCACTCCAAGAGAAAGCATGCACCAATGCAGATAAGCTTGCTCAAGAGAACAGTTCTGTGTGCCAGGCTACCCTGTCCCTGATGTAACTTCTAACATCCCTGCAGATGATGAAAATTCAAGACTGCTGTATTTCCATACTGACTACTTCACAAGCTTAAAACTGGAGCACTTCACTTACCACTTCCAGACCTTCACTAGATCATCCAAAGAACCAGAGATCACTGTTTCGGAACCATCTTTTTTATTTTTTCCCCAGGCAACTGACCAAATGGCATCATCGTGAGCTAAAAGAGAATATAAGCATATAAATTAAAAATTAAGTGGTTTCCTTTGATGAAAGACAACTACCAGTTTTGGTAATGCTAAAATTGCTGATTGTAATGCTGGCAATAGACCCCTTACTCTTCAGGCCTATCAGTGCTCTGAAAGCCTTGTCACTGTTTTCATTGTTTCAAAACACATGATGTATTTTGTTCACCAAGATCACTGTTGAAAAAACAGCATAGCTATTTTTGAGTTATTCAGATTTATACTTAATATAAACATAATCCAGGTCTTCTTAGAAGTATATCTGCCATTATCAATTTTACATCAGCCAAGAAGACCAATATTATTTAATACATGTTAGTGTTTTCTCACCTTGCTCTTGCTTGAAGAGAATACCGTACTAGAAAGAAAAAATAATTAATATTACGTATGAGCAGCCTAAAAAATATCAAGTTAGCGATTAGTTTAATTAAAGCTGTGTTTTTATTTACCTGTGTGGTCATGTCTTTATAGAAACAATCTTAACAGGAATGCTCTGGAAGGAGAAAACCCATTAGGTTCAGCAATAAGGCTCTGCCTCAGAAACACCGCTCTGGAAGGAGAAAACCCGGCAGGCACAAGAGTAAAACCTGAGGGAAACCCCGCCTTCTCG